ACAAAATATTACAAAAAAGTATAATTCAGACATAGTTTTTATAGTTAATCTTTTTTTTTAATTTTTTTATACATAAAACTGATTATCGATTCTTTCAAAGCTATGCCATTACCCACTAGTGCATGTGGAATCTGACTTGCTTGTTTCTAGTTAATAATAATTAAACGAGAGGATTCTAAATTTGACTATATTTGAAATTCTTTGTCAGATGCTATTTTTTATTTTTGAAATGTGTTAGCCTTTTCAAGCAATCACACACATTCTCCTTCTTGAAAAGACAAATGTTATTCTTTTTATCAACCTGTTTATTATTTTCTATTTTTATTATTTAACATGTGAATTATATTAACATAATATATTATTTTTTAAATAGAAAATAAAATAATTGAAATCACATGTCAAATAATACAGAATGACAAAAAATATGATGTAGACTGACAAGTTAAAAAAAAAAAGACTCATGCACGCACATCATGTGTTTACACATGTTTTTTTATTTTTTATTTTTTTTGGTGAATACCATGCGTTTACACGTTATTTCCCAGGAAAGATCTCCCAGAGACATGATGGTATAAAAGTGCGTTTCATCAAAAACAATGGAAAGAGAATCACAAGGGCTTTGTAAAAATAACTCAATAGAAAAGTTTTATTAGTAAAATAATTTTTAAAAAAATTTTACTTGTAAAATGACTACTTTTTATAAAGAATGATTAAGTGGTCATTTTTCATAAAAAATGAAGAATGTCATTTTACTAATTTCACTTTGTTGGATAATCATTCTAGCATATTGCCCGAGAATCATTCATCGATAGAAAAGGTGTATACTCTAGGCTCTCTTTGGTGGAAAGGATGGAGTGTAGAAAAAATAGAGTTAGAGGGATAAAGAATATGAACGATAGATTCAGTTTGCTGATTCGAGTTTTGCTATAGTAAAAAGCTCTCACAAACAGTCACATCAAATTTTTTTTTTTGCTACAGTAAAAAACTTTCACATAAAGTCACATCTCAACTCGAATTAAAAACTCGAATTAGCGAACTAAACGGACCCGAGAGAATTATGGTAATCTTTTTACGCTGTTTGATACGAGAAAGGGAGAATTAAAATGATGAATGATTATTTATACAATTACTATATTGTCCATTCAATTATTTTGTAATAATTGCATTTGAAGAGTAAAATAGAATTTTATGGTATGTTTAGTACGAAAGAGGGAGAGATGGAGGGAGGGAAATGAGTGGAGAAAGGGAGTGAATATCTTGTTTGGTAAGAAGGAGAAGAAGAGGGGAGAGGAGAGATGGAGGGAGAGACTCTCCTTCTGGGCCCACTATTTTAGATCCTTTCATCAATGAAATGATCCAACCTATCCATTCAAAATTAAAAGAAAATGTTTTTTTTACCCTTCAAAAGTAATTCTTAACAAATAATAAAATGGAAAATATAGTAATTAAATAAAAAAATTATCATTTATCATTTCAACTTCTCATTCATCCTACCAAACAACATAAATGATTATTATAATCTTCTCCATCATTCACATTCTTCATCCCTCCAACTCTCTCCATCATTCCTCCTCTTCATCTCTCCTACCAAACGAAACCTTAATTTAAAATTTGAGGAATTTGATGAATCATTCCTTTAGTGGAAGGATCCAAACTAGTAGGCCTAAAAGGAGAGCCTCTTCCTCCATCTTTCATCTCCCTCCACTCATTCATCCAACCAAATATTAAAATTGTCCTCTATCCCCACCTTTTTCCCTCCATCCCCTCTCTCTCCCTCTATCTTTCCCTCCTACCAAACACATTCTTAAGTCAATTAAGATTTTAATATGCATAACATAAGATGAATGTCGTGAATAAAAAAGGGATAGTTCTGGAGACTCTTAAATCAATTAAAATTTTAATATGCATAACAACCCAAAAAAAGACTTGTATATTTCGTAATTAAGATTTCCAAACTTGTATTATATATTCCTACCTTCTTCCAATTTGCTTACCTTCTTCAACATACCAGGTGTAATCACACACTAAAAATATTGTAGAAGGTCTATTGGCGGAGAATACATCGATGACCAGAATTGTTTACCAGTTAGTTCAAAGAAAGATTTTGATCTTTCTTGAAAATTACAAAAAGAAGTTCGTAAGAGAAGAATTTTGAATCAAGATAATTTTTTTAATCATACATATATTCTCTCATGCTTTGATCTGATTTCTACTGCGACATTTTTTTTAACAGAAAAATAAAAAATTTTATAATTTTTTTTAAAAGGGAATTTCTAGATTTTAATATTTTCATCAATGCTGATTTAGGAATTAGATTGAAACAAGGACACTTTTATTAGGGCCGGCAATATGGGTCACGACACGACAACACAACTCGAAAACGACTCGAATTTCGCGGGTTAGGGTTGAGAAAAAAGATGGTCGGGTTGGACCCGCCTAACCCGAACATGACACGAAACTCGTAAAAAACTAAAAAAATACATATATTTTTCATTACATATTTTGATTTTATTATGAACTTATGATATCATAATAGCTATACTCAAAATCTTATAGTATTATTTGCTTAATTTCAATGGATGTTATTGTATTTTAGTGTGCTATGAATTTTAAGTTATTTTTAATATGTAAAAAACTAAATAAAAGTATACAATTTTCGTGTCAATTTTGGGTTCACGGGTCAATTTCGTGTCACGGGTCATTTTTGTGTCGTCTCGTGTCAACCCGTAAAGTGGTCGTGTCATGTTCATGTTGCGGTTTTTAAAAAATTTCGTGTCACGGGTCGTGTTCGGGTTGACTGTAAATTTAGAAAGAAACGATCAAAACACGACACGTGACACGAATTGTCACCCCTAACTTTTATCATGGATCACCATAAAAAGGGGCACTGTATCATCTTATAAAAATATATAGGGTTGGGAAAAGTCGCTAAATGGCCTTTTTTTAAAACCTCTTTTTTTTTTTCATTTTACAAAAATCACCGTATTTTTTTTTTATTTTACGAATATGGTATTTTTTTACAGGAGTCAATCAGTGATTGGCGTACAATTAATTAATCAGTGATTGGTCATGATTAATCAATGATTAACTCATTTAACATTAATTCATCAATGATTTATAATTAATAAACTTGTAGTTTGTTGATTCTAATTCTTTAAATATTCACTTTGAGCTCCAAAGTTTAGTTTTTTTTTTCTTTTGTAATCACGGTAGTAATCTCTGATGAATTTTATAATAAGGTATGTAATTGATATTGTATGGTTTCCAACTTACAAATTTACCAAATTTCATATATTTTAGATATATATATATATATATATATTTGTGATTTTGATTCTAGGTACCAGAATTACATAGTTTTAGTAGAGTATATTTTAGTATCCTTTCTCAATCTTAAACTCTTCTACGCTTCACACTACGTTTAGTAAGTAAGAAGGAAAGAAAACAGAAGGAAAAGAAATCACTCCGATCAAATGTCATGGTTTCTTAATTTTTACTCTCAACATTTTTTGAGACGCAAAAAAAAAAAAAGAAAAAAAAAAGGAGAGAGCTCCTCTTTTTCCGTTCCGTCAAAGAGATCACTTAATGCAAGCCGTGCAATACGGAGTGATAAGCGCGCAGTATAACATTGAGGAGGAGGTAGGCATCTAAATATGCCACTATCTCTCTCAATCTGCACTCATTCATGCTCGGTATAACAAAACTTTAAAGAGAAATAGGAAGAAGACAGTTTTGGTGGAATGATTCTTCTTATTCGTATAGAGGAAATATAAGGCTATATATAGCCAACTCTACAACAATTAGAGAAAAGTAAAATAAAGCTACAAAAGGAAATAATCAAAAGTCAATACAATTCTAGACCTACAATCACGAAAGCTAAAATCATGGGATTATAATGAAATCGAGGAAATCAAGGAACCGAGAAATCTCATTTAATCTAATATCTCCAATATCCTCCCCTCAAGATGGCGTGTGTAAGTCTTTAACACCCATCTTGGAAAGCATGTTATGAAAATGTGCTACTCCCAGTGCCTTTGTGAAAACATCAGCTAGTTGTTGCTGTGAGGGAACAAAATCAGTACGAATAATGCCTTTTGAATTTTCTCACGCACTAAATGGCAATCAATTTCTATATGCTTTGTCCTTTCATGAAAAGTGGGATTGGCAGCAATTTGTAATGCGGCTTTATTGTCACAATAAAGATGTGCTAGTTGAGAGTGATTAATCCCAAAACCTTTAAGCAAATGACATAACCAACTGATCTCACAACAAGTTGAAGCCATTGCTCGATATTCAACTTCTGCGGAAGAATGAGATACCGTAGGTTGTTTCTTTGACCTCCAGGAGACTTTCACACCTGTAGCTAAGCTCACAACCATGCGTTGCTTACTTGCCATTGCTGCAATGCGAAATTGGCACCTTCATCAACTTGATATAAGCAATGCATTCCTCCATGGTGAATTAGATGAGGAGGTCTATATGCAGCTTCCACCTCTGCACTCATTCATGCTCGGTATAGGAAGCATCTATCTTAGTTCCAAATCCATGAAAATGGATGGGTCTTGGAGACAAGACGACTTTACAGATTAAGCCCGTTCACTTCGCTGATTCGAGTTTGTAATTTGAGTTGAAATGTGATTTTATGTGAGAGTTTTTTACTGTAATAAAAAAGTTAGATATGACTGTTTTTAAGAATTTTTTACCGTAACAAAATTCAAATTCTAAACTCAAATCGGTGAAGTGAATGTATTAACAAATGGTGGTGTGGGGGTGGGGGTTGGTCCGTGGAATATTGGATCTCGTTGGCCAACTCAGCTTTTGGCAGTGATTTTTTTTTTTTTTTTACTTAAAAAAATCCATATCCAACTTTACATTCTTTTCAGTTGTATATATGTACTTGATTGTTGGGACTACGAGAGTTTCAAAATAAAACTCGTCTCTGTCTTCTCATTTCGTTATCATTTTTTTGCCTTTTACTTGTTAAGGTTTCAGTGGACGCCATGGGCGATGTTAGGGTAAGCTGTGCATGGGTCGCCAGCCGCTCTTCTCACGTCGTCATCGATTCTTTAGGTTCGTCAATCATTTTGTTTTGCGAATTAGCTTAATTAAGCCTTGTTTAAGTTTGTGCTCTCTCTCTCTCTCTCTCTCTCTCTATATATATATATATATATATATATATATATATCTGTGACTGTAAATATATACTAATATTGCAGGGACTGAGAAAGTGGTGGAGACTATCGATTCCATTCCTAAAGTGAAATGGGATTTCGAAGGGATTCACTATTTTGATAATGGGCCTCTCACCGTTCAGTATATATTTGTCCTGGACGCTTTGAATTTCTGCTTTTGGCCCGGTATGTGTATAATCATATGCATTCATATATATATATATAAATTGTATATCATGAGTCAATATTGTTTATATCATCAGTCAATATTAAAAAAGATTTAATATAGAGAAAATTACATGGTTTTTCATTCTTTTACACAATCTTAACATTTGTGGCACAATAAATATAAATTTATACCACTTAAATTCTTTTTTAATTGATTTATTAAAAGATTATAATTTTATTATGAGTCTGTTTGAGAGAGCTTTTTAAAAGATACTTTTAGTTTCATGGCTTCAAAAGCTGCTTTTGAAAGTGTGTGGAGGATAATCTGTCAAAGTGTTTTGATTTTCAAAAGAATTTACAATCAAACCACAAAATATGGCTTTAAAAAAAACGTTTCTCAATAGACTTTGAAACTTATACCGGAATTTTATTAGAATATTGAAAATTTCATTCCAACACTTTTATTACTTATTAAAAAATTTAAAAATTATTTGATCCATAAAACTCTTTATTCTAAACACTTACAGAGAATCAACAATTTTTACTTCTCATCTTCTACTTACTAAAAGCAAAAACAAAAATAAAAGTAAAAGTTCTGCAAAACGAGCGCTATGCCACGTTCATGGTATAAATGTTAGTTAGCACTACAATGAGTGGTAATTTGGTTTTCTCCCAAAAATATATATGCTTGTTGTTGCAGACGGGAATGGGACTAACAAGGGGAGATTTTTCTGTTTCTTGATTTTCTTGGTTATGTTATTTGATGCAATCCCATAGTATTTTTTTCCGGGCTAATAAGCCTGTATACTATTGTTATTCTGTATTCCCAAGCTTAGAAAGTGATAGTGTGGGTAAAGAGAGAACAAATTGGGAAAATGGATTTTGACATTTTTCTTGCTCTTGGTGTTTTCCCTTTTCCTTTTTCCACCTTTTTTTTCCCTGGACTGTTCTTTCTCTGAATGATTGCAATTTCCACTTTGTGTCAGTGGGGAAAATTTAAGTTAACATGCTGATTTTAGCTTGTACTAATATCAATTGGAACCTGCAGATGTTTAAATGTGCGTGTATATATATATAATATCTACTTAGTCCTTTCTGTAATTTTGTCTGGTTTTCCTTGCTGATGATGTTTCTTTTTTGTCATGATCGACTTTGTTTTTGTTGATTGTACTTCACAGATGCCGAGCTAGATTATGATCATTTAGCCTCGAGGCTGAAGAAAGCTCTACAGAATGACAAGTCAGTTTTTGATGCTGATCGCTTGCAGAAATACACTGGTAATTGACCTAACAAATTCATCTTTCTTTAGCCGTACATACATATTGGTTTGCATGCATTATGAAATATGATGTTAAAGGAATTAATGCGTATTTTTAGTGTTTTTTTCTTTCCTCGTTAATAAATATGTTTTGTTTTTAGAAAGAAATGAAACTAGAGATAAACAAAAATCATGTCCTGCACTATGGTGGTTTTTTTTTTTTTTTTTTTTTTTTTTTTTTAAATGGTTCAAATTGAAGGTAATTATGTGAGATAACTTATTGCAACTTGCAAGTTGGGACAAAGGAGAATTTGCTTCAAATCGAACTCAAGGTTAAGTTGGTTTTAGCCGCAAATGAGGAAATGGAATCAATGTGATAATAAGATTAAATTGCAAAGTTTATAGGCTTGATCCTTGTTGATCTGATGTAGTTGTGCAGTAACATGTATATCTCATAGTATAACTTATGACTAGTTAAGAGAGCAAATTTAACTCTGCATTTCAAGATTCGTTAACTTTTAAATCTGTTATATCAATTAGTAGAACTATTTTTTATTCCCATCTCAGTATAGGTCACATTATCAATAAGATACCCCCAAAGGACTTGCAGAAATTTAAACAAATCGTTTCCTCAGAGAGTTTTTTATTTTTTATTTTTATGGTCACTTTCTTTTATTCTCTGTATTTGGTAACCTGCAAGCTTTTATTGGAGTGTTGTTCCCTGATCTCTTAGGTATGGTAAATTGATGACATCTCTTTCTTTTGCAAGGTCCGGAGTTACGGGAGCTCTTGAAATGGCCTAGGCCGCTTCCTTTAGAGGACGAACGAGTTCGGTTGCTGCACGAGGTAATTTTGACCTTTACAATTATGTCCCTTTGCATAAGGAACGCCGTTAAATTCATAACCTTCTAACTTCATTTTATAATCTTCCTCGATCGAAAACTAATGTTGTGCAAATTGCAAAGGTTGGATTTGAACTGGAGAGAAGCTTTGATGGCAAAGCGTCCAATCTTGTGGAGTCCTGTGCAAAATCAGCTGCTAAGCTTGTAGCTCTTGTTACTCGTCACTTCCCCGGTATCCTTGCATTACTTGCACAAGAAGTTTCTGTTTTTCGGTTTCCTCTTTAATCTCGAATCTTGACCTTCTCTTTATTGCCATGTTATAGGTTTTCGAGACCACTCGCTCTACAAAGGACACCAGATATTCTTGTACAAAAGAGCTCAACTATTTGCTAAAGATGTATGGGGTGCATTCGAGGGTCGGGGATATGGAGAATTTAACGGCATCGAATCGATAACTATAATGGCGGACTATATTGTCCCAGCTGTTCTTCAGAGGATGGGTGTGCTGAAATATAGTCCAACACTCACCAACAAAATTGAGGCTGATGAGGAAATACTTCCTGGCACTGAGGAAGAAGTTGAGCTTCGAGCTTGCTCCATACACGCAGTGGAAAAAATGAGGGAGTTGATCAATACAAAATCAGGGAAGCAGGTACATATATAGATAACAATGACGTTTGTTGCTTTCAGAAAGATTTCCCAGATGTTTATTCTGATATGAGCTTGTTATTCAAGATAGCTTATTCTGATATTTAACATACTTTTTTCGAAATCATACAAATGCATGACCTTGCCCTTTGCTTGAAAAAGTAGTTCTCTATTTTCAGTTTTCTGTTCTTCCTTGCTTCATTTGCAACTTTCATTCATACAAACTAATTGTTCGAATTTACGGACTTCTTGTTTTCAGGTACTTGGCGTGGAACTAGATCATTGGCTTTGGACTTTCGGCATTCAGCTTCCATCTCTGAAACACCATCGAACACTTTCGGTGTACTATTGAGTTCACCAGAACAGTGTGCGATTGTTGTTCTATGTTCTCCACCATTAGATCGGACTAGTTTTAGCGACGTGCTTTGTACGTGTGAGGCTTTGTGGAGGTCGATTAGTGTTCTAGACTTTTAGCTTATTGCAAGTTTTTACTTAAAAAGTTTTATTTTCATGTCCTTAAGTTCATTTAAAGATAATTTTTTTCTATTTGCATTTAGAAGAGATTGAGAAAACAAAAATTGTATGTGATTTGTTCTACGACGTTGTTACTTTCACGACAGATATGTGATGAATTTATGAAGGGAAAGTTTAGAATAGATTATATATATATTAATAAATAGACATATGGAAATAAATACGAATTCTATAAAAAGAACTAAGCTTAGAAAATTAAAATATATATATATATATAT